CGGAGCAGTGACGTGGCGAGCTTTTCGATTTATTGATTGATCTATCATTTAAACCTATGGAAAAGGATTGAAAGACAATATTCGTAACCAACACTTTAATAATCGATCTTTTACCATAGCTTCAAATGAGAAAGTATCGATTGTCAACCATGCACGCTTCGTAACTGAACCGACGTACCAGAGCACTACGGATGTGTGGCCCGAACTTCCGCAGCTGGACCCCTATTCCGAAAACTTCAGAGATCCATATGACCTGAACTTCAGGTCTTGCGTATGAAGTTTTTCTTTCCGTGATCGAAAGCATAGATAGTAGATTTTAGAGACCCTGCACTAAAACTGTAAGGTCGCATTCATAGTTGTAATCTGAACAGCTCCTTTCATTAGGGGGCCCCTTATGGTTAACGTCCTGATTGAAGGATTGAGTCAATTAAAGAGGTCGGACATGAAATTTATCTTTCATATTTTCTTTTCATTTCTTTTTCTTTCTTTCGTTCTTCCTATGTTTAGCGGTTCAACTCAATAAAGTTCCACTTAAAGATCTAATTCCAAAGGTACAAAGTAGAATTTCACTGCACGTTTGTGAAAACTATCGGTTATGGTACATGATATGTTAAAAGCCACTGTAAACATCCTTCAAACCACAATGAGAACCATACGAGGCTCCTTCAAAGAAGGAGCTGATTAGGGAAAGACTATAAATACATGCCTTTGCCCGTTTTTTGCAGTGATGTTTTGCCGTGATGGGGAAAAACGCCGTACAAACATTTGAATGTTTGCCAAATTCCTAAAAAAATAATTTTTTTTTGGGGGGGGGCCGCTGCATTTTTTTTTATTATTATTAAAGTTCTTCATTTTCATTTCCTTTCTTTACAATGGATACGTATGAATAAAAAATGGGATGTTCTCATTTGTCTTTGAATTTTTCAGACGCATGAGATCATATTGCGGACAAAATTCTCTGTAAAAATTTGGAGAACATATGCATAAATTCTTCAGAAAATTTTTTTATCGAGGGAAATTTGGTAGATTATGAAGGCTCACACGGCGTTTTTCCTAGCACGGCAGTGTTTGTTTTCTTGCTCACAGAGGAACGCATCAATGTTTCACTTGTCCTAACTGAAATCCTGGTATGTAACAAAACCTGGTTCGCCGCGCAATGTAGTGGGCAAGTTTCTGAGGTTACACGATGAAATGTGATTATTTTACATGGGTTTAAATGGGAGATGCTGGTTTTTCAGCACGATCTGACAACAATGGTAGTAGAGGGCCTTGCCCTGAAATCGCTCAGATTCATTCTAATAAAAAAAAATTCTTTAAACTCTATCTAGATTCTAGATGTCTACTTATGACTAGGAATATTCCATTCCACATTTGTTTGGGACCTTGAATGGGATAATTTCATGAGTCCACCAAGTCTACAAACGATAGAAAAATTTCCAGGGATTTCGCAGGTTGAACAAGTTTTTCTTTTTCTGTAGCGTTTTGCACAAAAATACAGCAACGTTATATTTGCTTATGATACGATACCAGGATTCCAGTGAGATTAAATTTAATGAAATTAAAAATAAATGAGTAAATAAGGAAATAAATAAAACTTTGGGTCAAGCGCAATTAATTTTAGCGCAGCTTATGCATTTACTAAGACGCTTCAACTCAAATAATTACTTTAAGTTTGGAACACAACTGCGTATGAAGTTAACATAAAAATGACGGGATTTTAGCAAGGCCTTGCACAATTATCAAAGTTATACATGCAGCGGTATGAAATATTGCGTCATAATATTAATAAATAATAATACTATGTTATAACTTTCGACTTTGCTTCATTTGAATAACCGTTAAGTTACTCAACTGTCATTTGTGTTCATACCATATTTTTTACAGCTTTTGTGAATGAGCTGCTTCCAAGAAATCTGACACTTGGTAATTTTGATACAAAAAAATGAATATCGTTATTTGCATCAATTATTATTCTTTTACGAGCACTTTACCACGTTTATAAAATCTGATTTTTCTGTGGAAACTCGTGCGATAGGTTTTGTATGGGATGTAAAATCGCTACCTTCAGATTATTCCATCAACTAATCATATACAGGTAAATAAACAATGAATACGTTTATTAAAAACCTTAAACTACAAGGCTCTTAAGAAACTATTTATTTTTTCAAACTAGAAACGTATGAGGAAGACTAAAGTAATCCAAGATGAGAGAAGAAACACCAAATCAGACAGCAAAGAAGTTAGTAGGTCACAAAAATACAAACAACCCAAACAGTTTCATTAACGCATTGTAAAAATGCTACTTTATTTTATGTATATATCTTCATTCACTCCAGCCTCATTCTTCAAAATCTTACGAGGGGATTTTAAATTCGTAAACTATAGATAAACTATCTCCCACGTACAAATTTCAGCTATTTATAGTTTAAAGGAATCTGAAATGCCTCCTAATGGTCCAGTTACACGATCAAATTGAGCCATCAAATTGAAGCTCTGATTGGTGGAAAGAGACCTGAGGTGAGGATGCGACCAATGAGAGGCCCAATTTGATGGCTCAATTTGATCGTGTAACTGGACCTTTAAATCCTAAATAATCTCTCGTACATTTTGCGGTAAGAAAATAAAGCACTGCGTAATGACTACATGCTCACTCCTTTCTATTACTTCAGCTGGAGAGGAATGAATAACACATTCATGTTAAGCCATTTTTCTTGTGTATACTGTGTCCCAAAATACACAACTAACTTTCAGCCTACTGTAAGTGCTCATACTATTTACTTTACTCTGTAATTAAATTTACATGTTTAATATTCACTTTTACGTATCTCCACCACCTCCCGATTCGTGTTAACAGTCATGTATTATTTTGACGAAACATTAGGTCCTGTTATTAATCCTAGTATTAATTTTGTGCTGAAAAATTAAGCTACGTTCCTGTAAAAAAATATCCGTAAAACTGGGGTTTTGAACCCTTTAAACGAGTCGAACGTATAGAAACAAATCCCTCGATCCTGTCATTAATTTTTTTATCTACCATTATGTGTACTCTACAGGGATGACTCCTCCTATTGGCACATTACCGGTGGGATGTAATTTGGTTAATATAAACATTCGAGCAAAATGCGACATCAAACTACTTCAAACATACTTACAGTCAGGAAAGAGTATTCTAAAAAAGGCATTACTAGAGGTATCTGACTTCTTGAGTAATTGATGATAATCAAAAATACCTAAACTTTCACCTATAAGACAGATTTTAAGAACTCTGCTCAGTTAGAGTTTCTTAACTTAGTTGACTGAGACCTATTGGCATGCAGCTGACTTAATGTCCATGCAAGCACATAGATGCACTTTCCGTATCAAACCAGGTATTACTGCTGCGGAGACGAAGAGTAATATATTTACACGATGGGCCATACATTATAAAACAAGTATAATGCGTCACACTCACACTGACATGCTTGAAATTACTCGATAACACTACCTTTATTATCGTTTACCTTAAGGTCAAGAAAAATTATAATTGTATAGAAATCAAAACGTTTCACTCTTATTTGTCGGTTGAATTTCTGCTGCTTATTCTTTTTTTGAAAAATTCGGCGATTTTTGGCATGTGACATTATTTTTTTGCCCTAAGGATACATTGCAAATCAACCATTGAGATCCGCAATTTGTGTTTTATTCCTGTAAGCACCCTCATTTGATTTGTTTCTTTGTATAACGCTCCTTTTTAACTTAAAAAAAGACCCACCGGTACACGGATGGATAATTTTATTCTTTGGTTGTAAAAACTATAAATCAAACAAATATTTTAATCCTTGATCTGGAATCCGTTGATTTGTTGACAGGGAGAAGTAGGATTTTTTGTGTTCAATACTTTTCCAGAAAATCTCAAAATCTTTAAAAAAAAATGGAAAACTTAGTTTAACATTGCTCGAAGGATATTTATTTGACGAACTTTTTTTGGCACTTTTAGGACATCCTGCCCCTACCCCTATCCTTCCTCTATCCAAAAAAATCTCACTCAAAAAGTGAACTTCCCCTTTTATGAAATCATCAGTAAGTAGCGCGCTTATTGTCAAAGGCAATGGTTCTTATTCAGCAACAATGGATTTTGTCCTTTTAAATGTGCATAAAACAATCTATGTTTAGCGAATTAAAATGCCTCATATGGAATCATTATTTACGGTGGATTTAAATGGAGAAAAATCCATATATTTTACTGGGGTGGATTTGACAGCCATCAAATGTTCGCACAGCAATCTTCCTTAGCAAGACAGATTAGTTGGCTATTGCTTTAACAATTTACTGTCATTTACTGTCAAGCACGGTTCAATTATCGTAAACTAACCGAAAGCATGTACCGTAAGGTGTAACAACGGCACGAGTACGCTCTGTATGGTCTAGAAAATTTGTCACCGTTTTTCTGTATATGTATCGTCTATTTCAAAGAGAGCCCTCAATACTGACGCTTCATTCTAAAAGAGTCACGAAAGAAAACCCAACTTCAAACCGTAAAAAACAACGACAAGAAACAGATTGCATTTTGGATTTTTCCGCCAAAAGGATTTTAATAAGTGTTCGTTTCTGAACGCGCAAGTCACTAGCAGAACAAGAAAGATGAAACCGATTTTCATAACTTTCTCAACATTCCACACAATTGCCAAGAATAGACAAGATAGGCATCAAAGCAAAAAATTCAACCGAATAAAACCAAACCAGAAACGAATAAAGAATTACCTTCTTTTAAGAGTCACATCATAATAAAGAAACTGATTTCCAACCTCATAGAAAGATCTTCTTGGCCGCGCCAATCAGGAAAGCACGCTTCCTGTATCAATTTTGGGTGAACGTGTTGACCTCTTGCCGTGAAATCAATCACGTAAAAAGATATGCAGTTATGGGAACGAACATTAATACTCAACTGATGAAAATTTCTCATTGTCAACAGTTTTTAAGGACAGTTTGTCAAAGAGGAAAAATAAAAGAAAATTAAAAAATATTATAAAAATAATGGATTCTATTTTTCACTTAAAACAACGACACAAACATTTATTATGGTGTTGAACATACATGTGTGAGCAAATTTAGTCTAGTCTTTTTTGTGAATGAGTCTATGAGTTGTGCAAAATTTGAAAACCGGGACTGTTTAATATTGATATACATATTTTTCCCCCTTTTTTGCTTCGGATAAAATACTAAGAAGAAAATGTCGAAAAACGTAAATCTTGCTAAACTCACAAGAAACCCTGCAGAAGTAAATTGTTTGTAGTAACAGGTTTGTCCTTTACAGTATACATTTTTCACATTAGTATTTAGTATCACAGTTTGCTTACTTCATTGGACAGTCTTTACATTAAATGAAACCCAAAAAGGACCAACAGCAAAAGGTCTTGAATAGGTTCATAAATATTCGCTATTTGTCTTTGTAAATATTTTCCATCACGTTGAGTCATAACACATCACCACCTGGAATCCAGCGAGGAGCTGACGTGAAAGTGCCCCACAAAAAAATAATTAGCTTCAGGTAATAAAGTAGGTCTAATGTCTCTAATCCTCGCTCATTCGTAACAATAATGCGCGGACGAAACACATTGAAATCTCACATTATAGAAAAAACAGTGCCATAAAACAGACGAAAAGGCAGAGTTAAAAAATTTAGAATGAAATATTTCACGAGGAGCTAATAATTTTATGTTCAATTCAATACCTATTGCGGTTTTTGCGGCAGTGAATTTTCGAGAGACATTTTACAAACACATCGCATTTAAGATACATGTGAATGAAAGTTCTCAAGAAAGAGAAAATTGATAGGAGTGAAAACAAAATAAGACGAGGAAGAATTATTTTCGGAGTAAACATTCGCCTCAAAAATTAATTCAGGAAGTTTTAGTCCCTCCCCTCTCCCCCCGTCGAAAGGTAAAATAACCGCGGGAAAAATTGTAAATGATAAGAATTCGATTGGTTGATCCTTTTTCAAACTAAATGGAAGGGCCTCAAAGCAAGGCTCATCTCTTCATGTGCATATGAAACTTAAGTAGAGATGTATTCATTACGGACAACTTCAGGCCTAAGTTACAATCAGGCATCGATATGCGGTACAAGTCGATTTATTTCCTTTAGTAGAATTGAGAGAGGTCATGGCCAATGTCTGAATTCCATTCGAGAGACCGATGCCTGTCCAAATTAAAAGCGACGATAAAGTCACGGAAATGATCTGCACTCGTAATGAGTGGACCTATTCGATATTTGAATGGATAACGTAGGGCTGTGGTCAAGGCGAATCTATAGCGAGGGTGAGCAAACATCGAGAGTTCGAACACTGCAACACTTTTTTGCTAAAACACTGGTTTCACAATACATTTGTGGCAGGAAAGGATCCATTGCACCAAGAAGCGCAGTTCCGCAATTTGTTACAAAAATCTCTTATGTAATACGAAGGACGTAATGTATCACCTAATGCATCACTAATACGACCCAGGTTCGATCCTGGTATTTCGTGCTTAATTTTAAACGAAGTTGCAAATTTTTGACACAAAACTTTGGTCAATTTTACTCAAAGAAAGCCTATTTCTCATATTAACACAAAATTTCGGTACTTTTTATACTGTGAAATAAGCACAATGGAAGTGTCTTTTGCCAAAAATTGTATTTGTGATCTGTTCCATTCGTTTTATTCTCGATGTTTGCTTACTTCCGGTGCAAATTGGATTACATTTTGCAATAAGAAACCACGATCCCTGGCTCTTCCATGGAAACACCTCTCTGCATTGGGAAACCAATGGCACATATGTTGTTTTTAAAATGGGTCAGAAATAGTGGTTTCTTAATGCAAAATGTGATCCAATTCAACTCCCGGAGGAGAATAAACTCAGCGGAAATTTTAGCCGGCGAACCAATCAGGACCTCCTTGATGTGCCACCACCAGAAGATCTGTTATGTCTGGGATCCACTGCGATTTCGTTCTCTTGAATTATCTCTCCGCCACCGAGAACCAAGGGTTGACCGAACGGCCGAGTTCCCGAAGCGTACTGCAATTGTTCTGAAATCGGGCCCCGTCAAATGAGTATCTCTTTGTTTCAATGTTAACAGCGAAAACACCAAAATAAAGTTAAAGTCCTACTCCAGAACCTTGATATGTGGGAGTGTGCTGTCGGAATGGGGGCCGTTCAAACATTAGACGTGAATCAATTAAAGGGGATATGGTTCAGCTTGTCTTACCGGGTCTCAAAAAGGAGAGAGAGGGGTGTATCCAGTCTTAATTCAGTCTCGATATTAAAAAAAGAGATGGGATATGGCAGTGTATAGATATACACCGCCATACAACCATAGTAAACCATAGTAATATGCCTTATAACCTACAGCCTCACAATCTGCGATGTCACCAATTTTTGGTTGTTTTTTTATTTTATATTCTCCATTATGATCAGGGCCGGATTTAGGTGGTGGCCACATGGGCCGCGGCCCATGCCGGCAAATTTAGGGGGGCGGCAAATTTTGACTTTTTTTTAAACGTAGGTATAAAAAATCGGATTCAGAAAAAAATTGCAAACGAGAAAAGGCGACAAAATCTCTCATGTCCCGAGAGTATAGTAATTTCTAACTTTGTCGTCTTTCGGCGATATAAGAGGCAGCACCTTTAATTAGTCGAGTTAAGAGAGAAATCAAGCACCCAATTTGGCCTGGAACGGCGCGGCGCATAGTGAAATGATGACGAGGACTTGCAGAACGAATGAGAAGGGGGCGGCAAAATACAGGCGGCCCATGGGCGGCAAGTAGGTAAATCCGGCCCTGATTATGATAAATTACAATAAATCTACGTTGAGACAAGAAGCCCAAAAAAGTGGCTTTACTCTGCTCTAACATCAATAATTTCAAACAGGATGCCCGTATATATTTCATTGGTATTAATAAGAAGTCAGTGTGCAGCCCATGAGACAGAGTCACTAATACTTGAGAAGAATTTACTTTAAATAATGAAAAAAAAGAAAACCTCTGAAACTAAAGAACGCATTTCGGCATCAGAATTTTAAAAAAAAGTTTTTTTATAATTGGTATCCGCAAGATGAATCTACAACGTTGGAACCAGGTAAAATCACTATGTGAAGATGCGATGAATAGTAATGTACAAATCTTTCTTCTCACATATCAAGGCTCTTTGGCACGATGTGAAATTAATGAAAAATGAAATTAAATAAAACCAAAACAAGAAAAATATGAAATAAAATTAAAAAGTAAAATAAACCTTGAAAGAACACAATTAAGTCCTTTATGAAACCAACAAAATATAAGAAAACAATTTTCTACTGAAAATTTTAGCTTTCAAAATTAAGTGAGATAATTTACTTTTCTCTTGGCCAGTTTTTGTTTAAAAAGAAAAAACATCCTGGAATATAGCTTCTGAGATAGAATGCAAGTATTTGGTAAAAGTAAAATCATCATACGCATTTGGATTGCTTTTCTGCATTAACTACGTAAACTTTTCTTTTTGAATTCTATGTATTTCTATTTATCTCCACTATATTTTCCAGCATCAAGTTACTCTCAATTTCACTTATTTCATAATTTCATTCATTTGAAAAACTAAATATTATTACATTTAATTAGAGGCCACGAGTAAAATCTGAATTCTACTCTCTGTAACTAATATTGACATTGATTAACGCATAAAATAATTTCAAAAAAGAAATTATTAAATACAATCCAAGCATTTGGTACTAAAAAGAATATTAATTTAATGCAGTGAAACCTTTGAGAAAAAAAAAATTAAACAAGCGAACTCAAACTAGAAGGGCAGTAAGGCAGTTAGTCAAAGTCAAAGTTATAGTATATGTTTAGTATTGTTATTCCACACGGGAAGTGAATGAAATATAAAGGTCATTAGTGTAGAGAATGATTGTTAATGAAAGATAGTAAGTTTTGAAATAAAGGAAATCACAGTTATAAGAGATGTCATGACCTAAACGATTTTGAGTTGATGGAACTGAATCAGACGGGAGTAAATTTTGTGTATTGCTTTTATCATCGATGTTGGGTTTCTCTTTCCAATCATTCGAGAGGTAAACTCATTAAGAAACGATTGAAATACTTTAACCTATCTCAACATATAAAGGAGAAAACGATTTGATAAAAAATGTCAATTTTCGTCAACGAAAGGCTCCTGGTAGATTGGTTCGCGGTATAATATACACGCACATAGATCCCAGGGCGGATAAGTTCACGCACTTTTAAAGCGAGACAGAGGATCTGTCAACTCGATTCTTGTATTTACTCTCAATGCTAAGCTGAAGGCAGCTGATCATCTGCCATACTCTAAAAGTGTGTAAACTTATTCGACCTTAATAACGAAACGGAAAGTGAGGAAAAATATTATTATATTCCGAGAGGTATCGAATAATATATTTTACATCGAGGAAAATCTCTGACGCAATCATTGAATTCGCCAATTTCATACGAAAATCAGTGGCAAAAATGTTGTCCCTAAACCGGGAAAAAATAATGCTATCATGCTTACTGCAAAATGTGCTATAATTATTGGGAGCCAGGCGAATTTTTACCGAAAAGAACGAAATTTTGAACTATAAATTTAGCGTTATGAATCGAAGCTGAAATGGCAGAGTTGAATCCTTAATGGATCATTTATTTGCCTTCGTATGAGGTGAACTTCTCGATAAAAAGAGAATATGCCACACATTGGATCATAAGTAACCTTATCTCAGCATCAAAATTTTGGACGCAAGAAGGGACTGTTCACATCTTTACAAATTATCAGCATAAGTGTTAAAATTTGAGTCTTGGAACCATTTGATAGAATAATACGTATAAATGTGTAAGTCGCTTCATAGCTCTCCCTGGCGCTTTACTACACCTGACCTCCACTGCCCCTCGTCGAACCACAACTTTTCGGGCTTCGGAATAATATGAAGATAAATTGCAAATTAAAACAGTTGCACTTTTGCCTTCACAGCTCCAACTCCTAAATTTTTTGGGTCAGAAACGTGTTCATTTGGCGAGCAGATTGCGATTTTAATCTTTAATTCGGACATTTGAGTTGTATTTTCATTTTTTAAGAACCTATCAAGCTAGTTGTCACATAGAATTTACTTATCTTCTATTTTTGCGCACCTGTGATGAACGAAAAGTAATTTTGATTTTTAGAGAGTTTCAAGTGCTTTCCTAAAGATCGGTGACAATCCGTAGTTTCAGTGAATAATTTCACTAATATTTTTTTACATTTTAAAATGAAAAACAAATATGAACAAAAAATAATAACTTTTGATGACTTAAGTATTTTTGGAGAATTGGTCCTCAGTATAGGATGGTCTTAGAAAAACATTGGACCAGACTCACGAAATTCGAAAAACTTTATCATTGCACATAAAAACGCATTCTATTGTATTTTTGAAGCAGTGCACCGCACCTGACCTGAAATTGCAGTAATCACATCTTTACCAACGTTCTTCATTTTTCGACACATCACGCATTTTTTTACTTTCATTGTTGACCTTTGAATAATATTTACGGAATTCATAAAAAATAATGCTTTAAGGACCTTTGATTTATCACCTTTTTAACACCTAGGCAAATATAGACGTCTGACCATTGTGCATGAGAAAACATTTAACATCCATATGGGTACAGGAATTCGGCATGCTAGTGTTCATGTACCACCAATAACAATTTGGATTCGTAAAACACGGATTTTATGTACATTGTGTGCAGGTCTCAAGAGAAATAATTGAGTGATTTGGCAACGACGGAGTTGATGTCAGGATAAAAAACCGATGAGAGATATTTGAATGGCCCCTCTTTGTTACAGAAAATTTTTCTTCGTGTCCTTTGTATTCGGGAAAATAATCAATTTAAAAAGAAAAATCTGCATCGTCAACATACATACATATAAATCGCTTTACAGCACTCCCTCGCGCTCTACGACTCCTAACCTCCACTGCTCGTCAATATGCGAACTTAAATGTTGTCGGTTTTACGATTCGTCGCACCCCAGACAAAAGGGCTCAACTAAACCAGTGGTGATTCTTAAAAGTTGGCAACACTGTTTTTTTGAGTGGAAACTTTTTAGCGAAGTGTCATAATTTACAATTTGTTGATTAACTAATGTCCATTGCCCGCCACGTTCATACCTAATTTGTAATTATGAACAGTAAAATGAAGATAGATCTACCAGGTCTCCCCTACTATATGCGATTTTATAGACGGTTAGATGTAGAGAGGGATGCAAATAACATTTTGGTGGAAGAAGAGGCACCATTCAAAGAACAGGGGGCTGAAGTATCGTAACTCGAGCAGGAGAAAAGGGATGAAAATCGAACAAATTTGGCCTAGGTGTCAGCTAATAGAAAGAGCCGGTTTGAAAAGATTCAGAGTACATTGTTAGAGCTGCAATTTTAATAAATTTTAATAACCGTAGTAGAAATGATTTTTTCACCTTTAGGTGCTTGCCGTAATGACAATCAACTCATAGCAATCATCACTTTTCTAAAACACTTGTTGAAGTTGATTATTCTATAATTTTTTATGAACTAGAGATAAAGCCATTAGCCACATTTCCGGAGGTGCTCTGCACCTCACGAATAAATTTTAGTGAACTTCAAAAAGTTATACAAGATAGTAGGGTATGACCCTGTGGATGACGTAATTCACCGTATTATTCAAAGAGCCGTGCTATTCTCCTTTTTCTGGCGTAAAATGCAAGTAACTGCATTATGTCTCCGGTTTTGCATTCTGAGTCTTTTCAAACATTTTGTTTCCGTTTGATGAAAATTACAAATTCACAAAATGCAAGTGAAATGAATGAAACTCGAAATGCAATTGCCTATAAATGTGATAGTACAAATCTAGTGAAGCTGTAGGACAGCCTGAAAGTTACAATGGTACAGTGCAAAGTTCACCAAACGTCCTGCAGTGTTATATTTAAAGCTCAAAACTGTAATAATAACAATGTGAGGGCGACCTAAGCCGTGGATTTTTTTCGTCATTATGGTTTATATATGGAGAATAAGAATTATAATCAGCATTGGGCAGCATTTATTTCTTTAATTATTTAAGTCAGTTGCACGGATGCTTTGTTTACATCTTAGAATCACTAAAACCAAACCTGAATTGTATTATCTTAAACACCTGATACAGAAGGTCCCGAGTATTCTTAATTGAAAGATTTCCTCATGTATTATATTATCCATTATTATTACAGCGCTGCTTTTAGAATGTTACTTTCAGATTCGAGAAAGAGCACAAACATATTTTGCTGTCTTGAATTTCTTGTTTTTCATTTATTCCCTAATAGAAACATACAAAAGCAGATTTTTTAAGTAAAAAATCCCGAAACATATCCTCTTTTAAGCAGATAAAAAATCTAGTAGAGTTTTAACATCCCTTCACTCTACCATAAACTGAATAGATAGAATAAAAAGGCACCCTGCGCGTGCGCCTTTGGTATTTTTCATTGGTCTGAATCGGCTGATTCAGTTTATATGACACCGAACCACTTTTTACTCGGCAAGATCTGCTCGTGTAATGATGAAATAAAAGAAGTAACGTCCATTTCACTTGAACACCTTGTAAATTTGTAATTTCGCTTGAGAATTTGCACACAAAAAGTAAAATACCACTCCATTTCATTTGTGACCGTCCATCGTGTAATGTACGCCATCAGTTGGCAACAAAATCAGCCGAATCCAATTTCTAGGATATTGAGGTGTTTCCCATCGAAAACTCAAACTGTGACTCTCACCTCGACCTTGAAAGAAGATTCTCAAAAATTTTCCTCCATGCGCTAAGTTTCCTCTTCCGCGTGGGCGGTCACAACAAAAAATGAAGAGGATTTTATCGATGGGAAAAATCAGAAAATGCGTATTCACGACTACGACGTTGCAAGCTTTCACTCATGTTTATGATTTGATATTATATGTAGAGCAAGAATAAGCATAATCTGATGGCTTGGAACGTTTGAGTGCACTGGAAAAAAAACACATTGGATCTAGAGTCCAGACTCTTGAAAACATTGACAAGAAAAAATACTCTTGATTCAATCAGATTAAAGCTTAAATCAAAAGGAAATCCGCTCAAATTAAGAGGCTTGGTTCTTGATTAAGCTTAAATCTGATTGAATCAAAAGTATTTTTTCTTGTCGATGTGTTTAAGAGTCTGGACTCTAGATCCAATGTGTTTTTTTTTTTCCAGTGTGGAGACAAACATTTTTTCATCGATTTTCTGCGTGCAAGAGTATAGCTCTAAGTAAATGACACACTCTGATGTAGTGGCGTTTGATTAGGAGGAAATGGGTCATTCACACAGACTGAGGGGATAGGGGCTGGTGGACACTGGGAGGCAAACACATAGACCTGCGAGCTGACACCAATCTGGAATACAGTAAACGTGTTTCATACTTTCAGGCAGGGAGATGGAGCGGCCTTGAGATCTTGCGCCGAACATGGACAGACTCCGGATCCCGCCGAATAGACGCCTCCGTCGGACGGCTTCAGCAGCCGGCAGCGGGGACGCTACGCCATAATCTGGCCATCGCATACAAATCACTTTTTATATCCGATCATCCTCAATTCTAGTAAAATGCCCCCATGGAGCTCCCCGTAAGAGGGCATCCAGTGAGCCACGGAAAAAAGGGTTAGGGGTTATCCCCTAAAATTGTGGCACTACCCTAATTTGATGAACGATAAGGACATTGCCAATGGAGATGTTGCATGTGTGAGGAATTTGCGATTTGACTGTTGATTCGTATGTAAAAGTTTGTGAAAAACACGATGGTGCCACTGGTTTTCTCTGAAATCAACTCCCAAGCTCAAAAAAAGCTCTCAAGTTGAGGCCAAAATGAAGGGGATATCCAACGCTATCCTGAGAGTCCACCTCTACATCAAGACAAACTTTCCATGCAAAGATAGGGAGCAAATACATTAGCAGGGTTGCTGTGTTTTTAGTTTTGGAGTCCCCAAATAAAGTGGCAGCCCTGTCAATGGATTTGCTCCCTATCTTTGCATGAAGAGTTTGACATGATGTAGAGGTGGACTCTCAGGATAGCGTTGGATATCCCCTTCATTTTGGCCTCAACTTGAGAGCTTTTTTTGAGCTTGGGAGTTAATTTCAGAGAAAACCAGTGGTACCATCGTGTTTCTCGCGAACTTTTACATAAGAATCAACAGTCAAATCGCAAATTCCTCACCCATGCAACATCTCCATTGTGGTTCTACCCTTATTTGATGGACGATAAGGACATTTCACACACAACATTTTACTAGTAAAAGCACAATGCGTGGATTGGAAGTTCTTAGCGTCGTAATTTAGTTCCATCCCTACGTCTTAAAAACGACGAATTGGATGAAAAATTATTTGCATCGGATTCCTTGTCATAAATAGAGTTTTACTGACAAAAGGTTGAAGCGTAGCAGATATGACACATCAACGGAATTATTCTAGATAATATTTGTTCATAAAAGAAGATAATACGTTGAAGTAATGCTATTTTAGTGAGACAGAGGTATTATCGTTTAACCCTTAATATGGAAAATGAAAGACAGAGGTAGATCAAGCCAACTTCAACTAGAACCTATGTCAATAGCAGAGATATTGATGCCAACGATTGAATGCAACTATTCGTGGTCTTAGGATGGCCATGTTGCATACATGAATAATTGAAGGCGTTTTTTCGCTCGTGGTACCTGGCGCGGCATGCTCAGTCGTCGGGAGACTTTCATTCAATAAAAGTGAATAACTCTTTGGAAATACACTGAATTTACAAATGGAGATATGTGCTTCTTTCTCAGCAAAATAGAATGTTCCGTAGATATGTCACATCATGACCACGGTTCAACAATACATCTCTGGGAACCTTCCAAGATTTAGCTACAGGTTATATGATAGCAGTGTGAATTCCCAACCATTTGATTTTATGTATTTTTATGCATCAAACAGAATTTTTCTTATTTATGCCACGTTTTGCCATGCGGCCACTAAAAATGTTATTCTTGACGGCCACATCATATTATTAATAGTACACATTTTTGACACAAATAATGAAATTAGTAAGCTGTTACGTGTAAAATCTCTTGGATTGATATGATAATAATTGTTCCCCTAATGTAGTCATTATGAATAACACTATATTTCATTTAATGGCTCTATTTGAAAATTTGCATTTCAAGCAAACTAACAAAAATTCTCACGATTAAGTTTTTTTAGACAAATTATTAATGAAAATTGCTAATTTTACCATCAGAAACTTTATGACGGTATCCCAAGTCGACCAAAATAATGGTTCACTTCAGCAAGGACGGCTCCAGTAGTTAAATTTGAAGTTCCATCCCTCATAGATTTTCGATGATATTAGAATGATTATTTGGTGAATGTATAGTGTCTTTTCTTTTCAGCAAAATAATAATAGAAATTACGTTTGACCGCAATTAGCGTGAGCCTTCTATATAAATTGTGAAAATAGAGTGTGGGCAATCCTGCTCAATTACTTGCTAATATCTAGGTTGTTTAGTGTTCAGATAGGTTTAAATAGTGTACTCACGTGGGCGATGGTATAATCTCTTGTCTTAGCATAAAAATAAAAATAAAAATAAGCGAAAATTAACTTTAAATTTTGACATAATAGCATGACAGCACATATTTTTATGCTCATTCTTGTATATTTCCCTATTAACGTACAATCGAATTTCTTCGCATTCGCCATTAATTAATTCGAGTTTTCGTCATTGGCTCCATAATTAGAACTTAGGGTGTTTGCGAGGGTATGACATGTTATGGTTAAATAGTACTTAAGTACAGTTGTTACAGTTTGTTAACAAAGCTCATACGAGACTCACATACTCAAAGCTAAAATGCCTCCGATGAGATATTTTTCTACCTAGACATTTTTCTCACGGCGATTGAACTAGATCTAGAAAATGAACTATTAAAAATGGTCTTGGCACGTATCATGTAGCATATTTATCAATATCGTCTTCTCATGATGCTAGTCCGATACACTCAATGTTATATTTGGCCTAGTTTTTTTGGTTGATGAATGAAAAATGTTCTTTTATATCCAGGTGTCATCAGTAAATTCCTCCATTCGCGGTACACGTGATGTAACCAGAATTATTTATTCATCCATACTTTTCGACTTGGCTCTATTTTCGTTTTGGCATGAAATGTTGAAATCAACCCGTTAAGATAGGTTTTTGTCTAAACTGTAACTGACTGAAAATCTAAACAAGAACAAAAAAAAAAAAAAAACCGCAGTGAGCTGAGCCGAACGAATAAGCGTTTTGAAAGTGATTAAGTTATGAATATTTTGACGTCAACCAGTCGTAAATTTTCTTTAGTAGACAAAAAGAAGAATAATTTCTCCATGAAAATAATTTCTTACGTTGAATCCGATGAACTTTTAAACTTTCGCCTTTTCCGGTTTCAAGTAGCTGGTGTAGGTTGGTTAGCATCTAAAAAACGTGGCTCATTTAATTCACCCAATAGCGGTATGTTTCTCAAATGAGAAAATTATGGAGTTGCAATTTATTAATGTTGGTAATTTATACATCACAAAGAACAGGCAGAATTATTAAGCTTTGATAGACTATCATCATTTTCATTATATTTAATACCAAATTCGTGTAATGATGAATAATTTGTACTTTTTCCCAAGGAAATAAAAGTTACTAGTGTAGGATTTTGGACACCTGAACTTAAAAAAGCTTATTTCTATATTCACGATTAGTTTTGAGTATTGAAGGGTTATTTTTCATTTTTACAAATTGATCATTGAATTTCAAGTTCATTACTAGGTACTTATAGTCTTATGTTTTTTTTTTAATTTCTTTGTTTAGTAAATTATTTACCATTGACTAACTTTCGATTCATCAGATTATTCTCATTCGTCGTTTATTTTTAGGAAATCAAAAAGATCGAAGTTTTTTGACAGATTCAGCTTTCTTTGTTGGAAAACAGACAAAACGATCAATATTCACACGAGTGTTAGAGGCTAGAAAGGAGACGGGAAATTTTTTTCACAAAAACCATACAAATATTTAAGGCATACAAATTATTTACAAAATGAAGAATTATGAACAAAAGTCAAACGAACAAATTCGTAACTAAGCGTGCAAAGTCATCAATTTATTTCAATGAAAACTTCAAAGAGGGAGGCACATAACAGCCTGTAACCGAGCAAATAGCTCCAGTCGCATACATTGAAAAGGTCCCAAACACAAAAAAGGTGGAAGTTTTTCAAACTAGATCCCAAATTTCCCTAAAAGATTCTACAAACATGTAATAGACTCAAATTTAAACGACTTATGATTCTTTGCGAAAAATAGATATGTATAATCTTTGGCACAAGTAACCTTTTTAAGACTTATAAGTGGATAAAATATCACCATATTTGGACCACATTTTAAAAGCAGGAGCCACTATTTCTGGCTCATTCTCGAAATCACTCATATGCACGCGAAAAATAGTTGCACATACGCTATTTCTATAGTGGGCCAGAAATATCGGCCCCTCATTGCGAGAAAGTAGTCCATTTATCTTGGCTTAAGACCGCCCTCACCTCTCATTAATGAAGCGATTAAGCGGACCGGAAACACCCAGCGCTCATACGTCTAAAACCGGAAGCAGAATCGATAAGATCGAGTGCTTATCGAATGAACGGCACAAGCAGTCGGATACTTATATCAACAACGGCAGTGCCAAATATCACAATAGTCCCTAAAGCTCTAATATATAATAAACCGAAAATTTTCAATGTAGCAGTGCCGTTCGGCAACGCGGAAAACAGTGTTGTCAGACGTCTTACGAAACGGAGCCGTTTCAGATAGGGGTTGATCAGTAACTCGCGAAATCACCGGCCATTTTTCAACCGTCATCAATGATGTGCTGGCACGCTATACTGCTGTACTAAAGGAATATACCGAACGAACATTCGATTGTTGCCAAAATTCACCGATAAAATATTTATTTTCGAAGAAGATTATTCTCGTTTTCTTTTTAAAATTTCAGATGATTTAGACCGAGTTACGAGTGAAATTCTCAGGAAAGTTGGATGGAAAATATCCTCAATTTATCCTGGCCAGTTTTTATTTCATCGGAGCAAATTTTGCAACACCCAATGGCTCGTTCGACGTTTATCCATAGCACGGAAGTATACTTCCGAATAGTTTCCTGACACGCTAGGTAGCTTTTACAGCCGGGTTCCTGCTCTCTGGGTCGGCTCGAATCGTTACAGTTACGTCACCGCGAAATATGTTCGGTAGACTTCCGTGAACAGATTCCGTATTCTTCCGTAGAACGCATGGAATCAGATCGACAAAAATCCAAGAAAATTCTCAAAAATCACCTACATAGGAAGGACTATCCTACCGTGCTAAGTAAGAACGCCGTAAATCCATCAAGATTTTCCCTCGTTCTTTGGAACTATATAAACACTTAAAATATAAACTGTTTCACCCACGCATCTCAAATTTTCAGGTTAATTTCTTGATAGTATTTGCGAAAGAATTCTGTAAAAACTTTGTCCCATGTA